GCCAGACATGTGATTTCCGGAGAGGCGGCATCGCGCAACTATCGAACGCGAAGGTCGCAATTCTGAATCACTCTTCTGCACAGAATTCTTGGAGAGCACGGAGCGAACATCAAGGGCACTGCATATTGGACTGTATAATGGTTAGATCGTAACCATCGCTGTTATCTAATGTAAATGTAAAATGTGTTTTAATGTGTCATGTAGAGCAGTGCTTCTTAAATTGGTTAATAGTTTACCGAAAGGGGAATGAAATTATTTTGGGGTGAATGACTTAATTTACTCAGATATACTTATATTTTTTCTATACTTAAAAAGGCATTGCCATGCAGTAAAGTGGTTAGTAAGCTCTTAATGCTTTTAATGGCAGTGGAGCTGGAAATTATTGGATTGAATATGTTTTTTTCTCTCTACCTATGGTTTTCTAATTAGAAAGTAGCAGGATATTTCCCAAATTTACTGTATTATAACCTTTTAGGGGAGACCAGACGAGCTAGTGGGATCATAAATTTATAAATTTCCACACTGGAGGATCGCCGCAGGCAACTATTGAACTGTAGCTTTACTTCGTGTTGCCAATTTAGCTACTATGCTGCTAGAACTAGAATTCTATATATATTTACTGTACTTCAATCTACCAGCACTTATTTGCACCAAGCAACATTAATTCTAACTATATTAAGGAGATTTGAGCCCCGTTTTTAGGCAATCTATAGTTAGATTGTGCCATTTTCTTGTAGTGATATTCTGCATTTTCTATTCTAGCGACTTCAGTATTTTGTGAGTTTGATTTGGTAACTCTGGTATATATCAAATTATACACAAGAGAGAGCAAGTCGAAAATTACCAAAACCATTAAGAAATTTAGTCGCGGGTGAATGAAATTTTGTGATAAAGACTCAAAGGTGAATGACACTGAAATAGTTTAAGAAACACTAATGCACGGGGCTAACTAATTGCAGTCACATTCATTCTCCCTATGAGATGCGAGACCTATAGTTAAAAAATTACATTTATACCACGTGGCTATCATGATGCCGCTATTAAAAAAAAAA